AACACCATTAAATTGGTTTGAACTAAATGATTGAGACCTAGTTAGCCCGGATTTGATGAAAGAAATGGAGGAGAAAGTGAAAGTTATCCAGGATAATTTAAAGATAGCCTCCGGTCGACAAAAGTCTTATACAGATTTGAAAAGAATTGAAATTGAATTTCAAGTGGGAGACAAGGTATTTCTGAAAGTATTACCCTGGAAGAAAGTATTACGATTTGAGAGGAAAAGAAACCTGAGTCCGAGATTCATTGGACCTTATGAGATTTTGAAAAGGGTCGGACCAGTAGCTTATCAGCTAGCTTTGCCTCCAGATATGGATAAGATCCACAATGTCTTTCATGTGTCGATGCTCAAAAGGTACTGATCAGATCCATCCCATATTATCACATTAGGGGAGATAGAGATTGACCATATCTGGCTTACGACGAAGAACCAGTGCGAATCTTGGCTCGAGAAATCAAAGAACTACGTAACAATAAAATTCCTCTAGTTAAAGTACTTTGGCAAAACCATAAGGTAGAAGAATCTACTTGGGAAAAAGAGGAGGACATGAGGAAGCAGTTTCCACACCTCTTCGTATCAGGTATATCCTTAAATTCGAGGATGAATTTTCTTAAGAGGGAGAATTGTAATACCCTAAATATCATGTCAGTGACTATATTGAAAGGATTTAAAAAATTGGAGGATTAAATTGAATAAATGGTAAAGTATAAGAAAATGATTTATAAATTGTGTTTAAGACAAATTAGTAAGAATGGAAGAATGAAAGGGGTATTTTGGTCCTTTAGAGGGAAATAGATTTAAAAATTCATTTTAATTAGAGTATTAAAGGAAAGGGGAAAAAGGGAAAGTTGAAAAATACACTAAGCTATCTTTTCTTCTTCTTCCCCATGACAGTGTTATCCTCTATAGCCATAGGTAAGGCTTCATCTAGGTAGCTTTTCCTTTCTTTTTTTGGTTTGTTCTTGAAACATTGAGTGTTATAGAGGCTTAAGGAAGGGTTAAATAGGATTAAAACTAAGAGATAGATCATTTATTTGAGATTGAAGAAAATAGGTTTTTGAATTATATGTTAAATTATGAGTTTTTATTGAGGTTTACTAGTATATTTGTCTTGTCAAAGAAGTAAATAAGAGATTAGAAGCCTTGGATGTGATTAAAAACATGTTAGAAAAAGTAGTATGATTCTTAGTTTGAAATGTTCTTTAGAGAATTTGGATGTTATAAGAAGCAAAATGGAGGATAATTAGTTGGGTTAAGTGATGTTAAGTTTAAGGGTATTGTTTGAGGTAAAAGTAAGAGATTTAAACGAATATTTGGTGAAAATTGAGCTGAAAAATGGAAAATCTGGGTAGAGGTATCGGTACTGGAAGAACAGTACCGATACTATAGGTTTAAATTTGAAGAATTGTGATGAACAGTATTGATACTGATGCAATTAGTATCAATACTGATGTGGGTATCAATACTAAGAGAAAGGTATCGATACTGAATGGGAGTATCAGTACCATAGTATAGAAGTATCGATACCATGGTAGGGGCACCGATACTATTGAGCCTGGAAAATTTAAGATATGAGGAATTTTGATAGAAATTGAATATAATAGTACTTTTGAGTATATTTAAAAGTATAAATATAGAGAGTATACTAACATTGGTATGGTATGTGTACTTAATGGATGCTTGTATAGATCATAACCAAGCTCCCGAATCAAGCAAGAAAAAGGGAAATGATAAGGTTACCGAGTAGTTTGACGTCATTAAAGCATACTAGGGAGGTATATCAGGTGAGTGCATTTATTGTAATTATATGGGATGAGGAAGATTCGCAATGAGTCAACCTCTAATATTTTGATTTAATGTATGTTTTACAGTATTTGATATATTTTTATAATGTGTATAGAAATGATATTATGAATAAGTTTTAGAGTAAGAACTACTCTATAGTGAAAACTAAATGCATAATGGTGCATTTTGGAAGAAATGTGTCACTAATGAAAATTAAATGCATAACGGTACATTTTGGGCATAAATGTGCCACTAATGAAAATTAAATGCATAACGGTGCATTTTGGCATAAAGGTGTCACTAATGAAAATTAAATGCATAACGGTGCATTTTGGCATAAAAGTATCACTAATGAAAATTAAATGCATAACGGTGCATTTTGGCAGAAAAGTGCCACTAATGAAAATTAAATGCATAACGGTGCATTTCAACATAAAATGTAACACTCATGGTTTAACTGAAAATGTTTAAAATGACTCTCATGAAGTATGCGAATTATTTCGGATTTTGATAGTCACGATATACTTATGTATGAATTGCATGTTTCCTTTACATTATTATTCCTCACTAAGTAAATACTTAGCGTGTGTTGATTTCACATGTAGGAAATAGCAAAGACTAACAGAGTAAGGAGTGCAACAAAGATCATCAATTCAAGGTTGACTCATTAGTAAATGTAGGGCAATTATGTCTCTTTTTGGTAATTAGATGGCATGTATCTGAACTTAAGAAACCGCTGTGTAATGTATTAAAGTTGCAATTTTTATAATATGTTTCAACAATATTTATTATTGTACTAAAATGTTTTGGTTTATTTTCAAAACAAAATCTTATGGGTTTTACAAATAAGTGAATGTTTTTAGAAGTCATGCGACACATATAACTTGTGTACGGAAACATATACGGGAAATGGGTTTTACATGTGACATGGCAGTCTTTGGGATTATTATGAGGATTCATCATTGAAGTTTCCCCCTTTGTGGTAGAAGAATCTCCCTGATATCCTTGGGCCGGTGAGGAGGCCCGATAGGGAAGAAATTTGGTATAATTTTAGGGTTTGACTTGCTCAATCGAGGGTTTATTTTTTATTGACCAAGAAAATGTAAAATTTAAGGTTAAGTCCCTGAACTTCCCACAGTTTTCGAAACTGAGCTATAAACTTTTAAAATTTGCAATTTAATCCTCAACTTTTCCCTTGTTATGGCTTTAATTTAATACTTTAAATTAATAACATTTAACCCCTAAATTGGTGTGGAAGATGGTTTTCCCGAAATATTAAAATTCTTTTATATTTTGATTTTTTTTTATTTTTTCTATTAATAATCTACTTTCGTCTAAAGTTTTATAAATTTACATTATCATAGCACCTTGCATCTGCCCTGATAACAAGGATTAGAATAACATTTAGCTTTAGCCATGTTGAATGACCCACCAAGGCCTTCTTGTTCGTGGGGTTTTTTTTTTTTTTGTAAATTTAGTGGGGTTCACACTATCGAATCAATTGCGGTTTTTATTTTTATCGAGTGATTGCAATGTAACTGATAACAGGTAGAAACGGATTGAGGGAGACGTCGTCTTTATAGTTAATTGGTTGACAAACTCGACTAAAGATGCGTCCATGATTGGATTATTGCTTAACAAAACTCGTGAGGCCCTTACAGCTTACCGTCCCTTAAGGTGCATTATATCAATAGAAAGGCGAACATAACTGCTCGCGCCCTCGTTAATTGAGCTTTATTGAGAATCACTCTTTTTTTAATTTTTTTTAATGAACTAGAATATATCAAATAAAATGTATTCTTTGATGTTATTGGAATTTAACGAATTTCTCCTTTTAAAGAAAAATATTGCGTTGAGGCTTTGGCATTTGAGAGAAAGTACCTTGAATGGGAATCGTGCTTTGAGAAATTGGGATTGGAATAAAAGCCCATCTCATTGTTGCAATTGGACCATGTTCATTCATGTGATACAATGTGGACTTAGGGAAGAGGTTCAAAGGATTAAACTGATATCATGTATGAATGTCGAGGGGTAAGTATTTTTAAATTAGGATTAAAATAATATAAAGTATAAACACTAAGTATTAAAATTTTTATTATATAGAATTTGTAAGTTGTAATTAGGGGTTTTCAAAAATACCCGACCCGATTGACCCGACTCGATGACCCGATGACTCGAACTAAAATACCCGACCCGACATTTTCCGGGTCGGGCTTGGGTCACAAAATTTCATTTTTACTGGTACCCGGTTACCCGAATACCTGATTATAATTTTTTTATATAATATGATATTACATATTCAATTATTAATAATTTTATATATTAAATTAAACTAATAAAATTTAAAAAAACCACCCACTCAATCATTGTATTTTAATAATTAATATAATACTTTTTTAATAATATAAGTTTATTTTTTTTAAAAATAATAATTTAAAAAAAATTAAAAACCAGGTACCCAGATTTGAACACCCCTAATTGTAATGTTTTGTGACTAAATTAACAACTTATGATTAAGTAAATTATATATATTATTTTATAATCATCATATACAATCAAAAAATAAAAATTATATTTCAAACTCATCAAATGGTTTCGGTGATTAAAGATTATTATTTTATTTTAAGGTCCTAGGGTCAAGTAGATGCATCTGCGGGCTAAGAAACAATATGAATTTATATTATTTTATAATCATTATGTGCTGAAAAAATGAAAAGTATATTTTACCCTGTCAAGTTTAATATCTTTACTTCATCCTTGCATGATAATTGGTAAAGAAACATTTATTCTAAATTATAACAATTATTCTAAATACTAAAAAAAACAACAAAATATGAGTTAATTGAAAAAAAGTTAAAAAAAGAGATGAATTATAACAATTATTCTAAATTTATAGGGGGAAAATTCTTGGGTCTCAACCCTGAATTCAAAACCAATCCAATTTCACACTATATAAATTTTAAAAAAACGACCTTATTAAATGGAATTAAAATGGAGTTAAGTTGTCTGGGACTTCACTCACAACAGACCAAAACTTTGTCAAAACCCTAAACAAGTTTTGGTAATATCAAACGTCCAAATGCCAATTCCATTGCTTAACTACCCTTATCATATTCACAACCACATTTTTCATCAACCTGGAATTAACCCACGGAAAGCACCAACCAAAACAAACATAAGTTATCCCAAAAGTAACGAACTAATTGCTCAAATTTCTTTTTCTTTTTCATTGCGGAAATTTTCCCGGATTTTTCATGTATATATACACACCCAACTCCTTAGAAGATGATAAACAAAAAAAACACTTAAACTACAAAGCAGAAATTTCAGAATAATCACCAAAGACTTCAGGGATCCCAGAAGCAGCCCAAAGCCTCTCATTAAACGTCTCTTGCATATCATCTGGAACAAAACATGTTCTACAAAGAGGACATGTTTTATGGTCATACACCATCCAACGGTCCAAACAGCTCCGATGGAAAATATGCCGACAGTTTGTCAGCCGCCTGATCTCGTCCTCCCCTTCGAAGTCGTACAAACAGACCGCGCAGCTTTCCGGCGGATCCACGAGGTCGGAGAACTTGACGACCGGTAGGAGTTCCCGGATGAGGAGAGCCGAGACGGGGATGCGTGAAGGATGATAAGATGAGAAGGAGGTGGTGCTGGTGGTGGAACCATCGTGGGTTTCGGCGGCGTAATCACGCCAGGGAATGTCGGGTTCGAGGAAATCGGGGAGTCCGATATAGAGGAAGAGAGTGGAAATGAATTTGCGAATGAAAGAAAGAAGAGAAAGTGTATGGAGAAACAATCTTGGAAGAAGAAGCTCAGAATAAGCTACTGGGAAACCCATGATTTTGTTTATGTTTTTTTTATAAAAAAAAGTGAGAGTGAGAGAGAAGACGATAAGCTTTTATTTCCTATGGTTTGGGTTTTTCAGCAAGGGAAAGAGAAATAGGAAGCGATATAAAAAGAGTGTGCTATATATAGAGATTTGAAACTCAAATAAGCTTTTTTTTAAGTGTGTTTTAAATAATAATGAAATAAACTAATTACAGTACAAAATAAAAGGGTGAAGTATATAAATGGTCCCTCGACTATAGAGCACTACTTTATTGAGTCCCTAAACTATTAAAAGTTATAAAATAGTCATCCGACTATTCATATCTTAAACTCATCATTTTACTTAAAAAAATGACGACCCTTTGTGTTGGACTTTAACATGTTGATTGTGGTATGATAAAATATGATCACAGAATCTCAAATGACTATACAAATCAGAGGATTTTGGGATCATATTTTATAATATCCCAGTAAATAGGTTAACGTCTAGCTTAGACGATCATCATTTTCTAACAGAAAATGATGTATTTGGAATATATGAATAGTTGAGTGACTATTTTGTAATTTTTAATAGTCGAGAGACAGTTTTGTAGATTTTAATAGTTAAGGAACTCAATAAAGTATATCTTATAGTTAGGGGACCTTTTTTATTTTACCCAAAATAAAAGGGATTACTAATTATAGTGTTTTAATTTATATCTATATTAAAAAAATATGGTAAAGTGCACAAATGGTCCCCGATTATGGGGCATTGCTCTATTGAGTCCCTCAACTATTAAAAAACTGGTCACCCAAATATTCATATGTTTCAAACTCGTATTTTTCTATTAAAAGATAACGATCTTGTGAGCTAGACGTTAACATGCTAACTGAGATGTGATAATCCGTTTGGGTTTCGTTTGTGAATCAACTCTATGTTTATATTATATAATGGAGTTAGTGTTTGACACATTATGCCATCGAACCAGTGTTTGAAAGTAGTGCCTGTAAATATCATTAAAATATAATTTTATCATATCTCACCCAGCAAGTTAACGTCTCACTCAGACAATCGTCAAATTTTTAACGAAAAATACGAGTTTAGAACATATAAATAATTAGATGATCATTTTGTAACTTTTAATAGTCGAGCTTCTAGACAAAGCATCACTCTATCGGGGTATACTTTAATCAAAATAAATAAATAAGATAGGATAATTTTTAAATCCTTTGTAAGTTAAAAAGTTTCACAGTTCATTTACAGGCCTAGTTATCCTTATAAAAGAATTATATAAAGTGTGATGTAAGATTTTTTTAAATTATTATTTTTATCCAAAATTGTTGATGAAATAAATCATATCTTTGATTCATTACAAATATAGAATTGAGGTAAAATTAGGGGAAAAGAAATTAGAGATTTAGAGATGATATCATATTAATGAGGAAAATAGAAATATTTTGTAGTTATTGGTAAAGTCATAGTTAAATGAGTATTATTCTAAAAAGATTATCCATAAATGAGGGCAATTTTACTTCTTTTTTTTTCTTTTTCTTTTTGCATTTTGATACTACATAATAAAAAGATTATCCATAATGAAAGACTAAAATAAAAGGTTTTATAAATCAACATTAACTGAATTTTGGTTCAATGAGCTCACTGTTTCACTCTATTATAATATTTTTAAACTTTTTGTATAGTCTTTATACTTTTAGTTTATTTTCAATTTAATCTTAAAATTAATAAGAGAAAGAAATTAGAGTAAATCATAAACAATTATTAATAATTTATCTAATTCGATCTTAACTATTGGCAATTTGTCTGTATTATAAAAATATTATTAGTCTCTAATTAACCTGATATGATTTTTAAATCTCTAATTTTGTTCTATAGTCATTTCACCTAATTAAGCTATACAATTAGAATACATCATTATTAAATAAGCACAATAATAATTATATACATATATATATATTATTTAAATAAGTACAATAATAATATTATATATAAGAGTCGGTAAAGCAAATAATTAATTTTCAAAATAAATGATTACTCGAAGGAGTGGAATAAAGAGAGTCGACCACACACGTTAGATGTTTACACCAAACCTAAAACTGAAACATCACCAACGGAAAAAAAAAGGTTTGGGAAGCAAATAATAGCGCGAGACCAAAGTGAAATCTTTTACACATTTTTAATTTAATACTTTTAAAATTCAAACTCATTCCAAGGATTTTAAATAGTTAAAAAGAATATTATCTTTTTTAGAAATCTTAGATTCGAATAATTATAATTATAGAGTGTATTTATATGATTAAAAAATACAATTATATAACATTTTAATATAATAATATTTATTATACTTTGATTCTAACATTTTAGACACTAATGTTATTATTATTGAATAGAAAAGAAGCCATTAACTTTTCATAAAAAGATAATTCGAAGTTGAACCGTTGTCCTCTTTACCCCCTTCACATGTTATGTTCTAAATGTGTATGTGTACGTAACCCCGTCAATCATCATATAGCAACGAAAACTACGGATCCTCAATCATCACTAAAAAGAAAAGGAAAAACGAGCCATGCTTTTCACAATCCCTTTGTGATGCCCCACGGAACAAGCTAGCAAAGAAAACAGTTCTAAGACTAATGCAAAGTCCCGTACTCTAAATTTGACCCAACTGAGCTCATTATTATTTTTTTTAAAATTTAAAGTGATTATAAGATAGTAATTTATAATTAATTTAATTTATTCGTATAATTATTTCTAACAAATATATAATAAATATAGATTCAAACCTTTGGGAGTTGAGCAAGTGGAGACGAGGGGCATCTGGATAACAAAACATGAGTAGAGCAATAGTGATCAACTGTATTCTTGAAAAATTTAAATTATTACATAGTTTAGATATTTTTTTAAATATATTAATAAAATTATCTCTAATATTTACATAAATAATTATTTTGTCATTTATCTTTTTTGAATATTTTAGCTCTAATATTTTAATTTTTGGTTAAAACGGATCTTGTTGGATGAAAATTGTTAGTTGACTAATTATCAATACATGTTATTGACGTAAAACATTTATATATAATCAATTACTAACGTGATATGTGTCTTGTCACCTAAAGTGATAACATGACCCAAAGTGATAACGTGACATGTATTACATCATGCAAAATAATATAATGGTATGTGACAAGTATTAAATATATGTGAAAATATCATGTCAATAATATTTGATGATCACTAATCAACTATCTATTTTCATTCAACATAGCATGTTTTAACCAAAAATTAAAATGTTGAAGATTAAAATGATCTAAAAAATATAAGGAAGAATGATCATTTGTGCAAACGTCGGGATAATTTTATTATTATATATTTTTTGTGTTTTTTATTGATGATTTAATTTTATATTTTTTAAAATTTTATAATTTTGTATCTTTAAATCTTTAATACATCTTTCTAGTTTTGTAACCTTAATATAAAATTTATATTCACCCCTATAAAATTGACAAGTGATTTGTGGGTATTCATAGAAAGGGGTGGAGAAAATGAGTAAATATTATTGAGGATGGATGGAAAGAGGTAAACCCCACCACAGCATGCTGCTGGTATCGGCCTAACTGACAATCCTCCTCTCTGACAAATGCCGAATGCAGCCGCGACAAGCATTGGCCCACGCAGTAGCTGAACCCATATGAGGCGGCGAACCCAACTCACCCACCCACCCGACCGAGCAGAGCTCGATCTCACCAGTCACCTCCACTACCTTTGTCTCATTCCTTGTCTCACCCTCCATGCCATCCACTCCCAACGGGAATCTCAAGAATCTTCATCATACATATAATGTACTCACTCCTCTTTAATATTATCATAACTGCCTTCCTTGTCTCTGCTTCATCATATTCAGATCTCATCTTTTCTTTTATCCCTAAATATCACTCACTGATATTTTTTATTGCCTTTACCAAAATGGGTTCATCATCTTTTAAACTTCCGCATTCTCTTTATATATATATATATATAATTGTGAATTTCATCCTCTACTTTCTAAAAATTGAAAAGTTAATTCATGTATCTTTTTCTCTGGCAAAACTGTCAAGATAATGTTTGTGGGAAACTTTTATTCCCAAAATAATCCACGCATGCTATTATTTACCCAAATGGGGTGTTTGCTACAGATGACATGCAAATGTTTGGATCTCTCAGCGTCATGCTTGGATCTCTCGACGTTATTAGGGTTTTGTGGGTTTAGGGTTTCTCGGCATCTTCATCCAAAGATATCTCGGCATCTTCAACTTTAAGTGAAATGGAGGTCTCTCGGCGTCTTCAAAACAATTTGCATTCTAATATGGAGGTCTCGGCGTCTTCAAATTCCAACTTGGAGGGCTCGGCGTCTTCAACACAACTTTCATTCTCGTTGGATCTCTCGGCGTCTTCCATTGTGGAGCAAAACGATGAAATGGTTTGTAACAATGAGGAAGATCATGAGTGTTAATGATTTTAGTGCAAGTTGGCCCGCACAAAATAAAGAAAAAGTTAAAGAAAGGGTAATAATGCATGTGATAATAGACAATCCATCTAAAATAGAACACAAAACAACTTTCCATGCAAAATTGTGTTAAAGATGTAACACCCCAACCCGTACCCGACCCGAATACGAGTCTGAGGTGTCACATTGACTTTTCAAACCTTGACACTTAAAAAAAAAACCCGGGGGAATTTAAAACTTTGTTTAAAACAAAATACTTTAATTTACATAAAAAAGACCATAAAATACAAACTTGATCAGAGTACTCATAATTAACGACTTATTACATGCCAACACTCTATACACAACAAAATACATACTTTGTCGATTACTTCTCATCTGATCTTCTAGTAATAATACTGTCCTTGCCACTTATATTCTTGTTCTTCACGTTTCTTGGTACCTACGTGTGAATCACTTACACGCTAAGTCATAGACTTAGTGAGGCAATAAATAAACATGTAACAGTAGATTCATGAAAATGCATTCTTACCATTTGATCATGATATTTCAATATGCATGGATATATTTCATATGACATATATAATCAAGTCAT